TGGTATTAGAGCCACTTGTACGATCTAGATTTGGGTTAAAATTCTTGGTTGATATGATATGTATGAGATGCACACTCATTTTACTGTTTTCAACGAGTATGTGTTTCAATTGTGTTCGAATTAATGAGTGTCGCAATTAATCTGTTAATCTAGTTAAAAACAATAATAATTACAATCGTTGATTAAATGTTAATCAAAAGTTTATTGTAGTACGATTTTGATGTTCGTATGTTAATTGTTAACATGATGAACAGTGGGGATGTGATAGCAGATCACATTCGGTAGAGGAACAATGGTTGTTCAAGTTTGAAAAGCTTAATGTTTGAAAAATCCCAAAAACACGATTTTGTTGATAAATGTTATCAAATCGTGAGGTTTTTCATAGAAAATAAGTACTTTTTTCAAAAATTTCCCACTGGCCGCGCCGTTGCAAGGGGTTTCACTCATTGACCTTGCAAGCTTCACCCTTGACCCCTTGTAAGCAACAAAGATTGTAGGCCCGTATCAGTTATTAATAATAAACTTGTAATGGTATATGTATGATATGTTTAATTTGCACGGTGTTTGACATGCATGGTTATAGCCCCTTTATTTACAATGGTTGTATATTTTTTAAATACAACCTGTTTGTCGTGCCTCTCTACACTTCTGTTATATCTATCTTCTCATCTTACTCCCTCGTATGTAAAACGACTTTCTAAAATTGTAATCATATAAAGATTCAAAGGAGAAGAAGATTGGACCTACTAAAGGATGCTTGAGAAATAGTCATAGTATTTAGTATTCTTGGTTCTCCCATTGGCTTGGAATGGACCACCTAAGTTATTTCTTCCAGGCTAAAATCATTGCATTTTATTTACTGTTTTACGTTTATGTTGTATGTGATACAATGTTTGATATAGTAACTTGCTAAATCTATTGATGAAATCAATAAGAGCCTAATATTAAAATGAACATCGATGAGATAATTATGAAATCCCTCTAAATAATTTAAGTTAATTTTAACCATTCATTATTTGCCCTCGTTAAGGCTTCGATCGATATTATGTGGGTTTTGCAAAAGCAATGAAACATAAGTCTATCTTAGTTAAATGGAAAGAATAAGAAAATGATATTCACAGGTTGAAATTTTTGTAATAACTTAGCTAGGTTATTCTAATAAGATTATAAATCTAGAGGTTAATTATTTGGATGAATCATTAGATGATTTGAACATGAGTTGTTCAACAAATGGAGGAGTTACATGGAATGTAATTAGTAAGGTATTACTTACCTAAATAATCATTCTCCTAAAAAAAACAAAGTTGATTTAGGAATACGGTGAAATATGGATCCTCACTCACTAGAAAAACTTTCGAGATGTTTTTCCGAAATTAAAACAAAAGGGTTTTTAATTTTGAATAAAATAATGGGAGGAATTTGTAAATAAAGACCTATTTATAAATTTTAAATTCGATAAATTACTTACTTTAAATATTTCCATTGTTGTAGATTTAATGACAAACAACACACTATCATTGTGATCACTCCTTGAGAATAAGAAACTTAATGGCATAAACTTCCTTGATTGGTTCTGTAATTTGAGAATTGTTCTCAAATAGGAAAGGAAAGAATATGTCATTGAAGAATCTGTTCTTGATGAACCAGCAACTAATGCTTCTAGAGCTGAGAAAGACAAGTTTAAGAAACATATGGATGTCTAATGCTTGCCACCGTGACTCCTAAGCTTCAGAAGCAACATGAGGACATGGTTGCATATGAGATGATTTAAAATCTCAAGGAAATATATGAAGGGCAAGCACGTCAACAGAGGTATGAGACCTCTAAAGCTCTATTTCAATGCAAAAGGGCAAGTCACGATATTGCTCATGGTGACAACTATATGTATGATTCTTAGGCTTGAAATCATTACTATCTCAACGTATATTGTTGTATGTTTTGATACAGTTAAACATGCTCTGTAACTGGTTGCACTAAAAAGATTATTATTGAACATACCTCGATCTATGTAGTGAGATGTGAATGATTAAGATAAGATTTGTCCTTCCTACATAATAGAAAATATATCACATGCCACTTGATTAAGTGGGACTAGAAATGCATGGCCACACTCGAATAAGTTGATTTGAGATATCACAAATGATTTGTTAATTATAGTCTACTCTAGATATCAAGAAATAATATATGGGTTATACAAGTGTGACTATTCCAAGACTTGTGCCTACTCTAGGTATAAAGGAAAAAAATGATGTAATACATAAAAGAGTTAATCACGAAGATGATATATCGAATCATGATTTATTGTAACTTCGATGACAATAATATATTGCTAGATGTCATTCATTATTTGTAATATTAGAATTTTTATAATAATTACTATTAATGTTACAAGAACATACAGGGTCACACCCTAGGGTTGAAATGAGCAAATATGTACAATTTATTGTACGCTATTAAAATATATATCTAGAGTTAATATATGTATATTTGATATACATATGATTTTAATTTATCCTGAATATAGTAAGTAAACATTAAAAGAATGTAATTCTGATTATAACTCTTTTAATGGGTATTTAATTTGGAATAATTAAATAAGGATAAAATAAACATTAAAAGAATGTAATTCAGTTTATAACTCTTTTAATGAATAATTAATTTGAATTAATTGTTTAATAATTTAATTAATTCGAAATAACTAAACCCTAAAGGTTATGATAACTCGGGTATATAAAGATAAGTAAAATATAACGGTCAACTTGATCTTTAGTCGATTTTCTAAAAACTATTTTTGGGAAAAGTTAAAATTTTGCTCTCAACCGGGTGAACTGAGTAGAGACCGAGTTGTTTTCATGGAGGCTTATGATTCAAACCGTTCGTGATCACCGTTAGCCGCTGTTGTCTTTTCTTTTCTTTTTAAGGAACCCAATGTAAGTAATTGCATCCATTCCTCTCGATTTCGGATAAACATATATGGATTGTTGGTGATAGCGTCGTGTTTTGTTTCTGCTGTGCCATGGGGTGCGTCGACGATCCCAATAATAGTATCGATAATCATTCATAGAGTACCGATACCAGGGTAGGAGTATCGATATTCCCTATAGGGGTATCGATATTGGGGTATTTTCAAAACATCAAACTGAAATTTGGTATCGATACTGAGACAAGTATCGATACCTCAGTACTAGAGTATTGATACTCATCCTAGAGTATCAATACTACTTTACCCAAATAGCCTTTATCAGTCTGGGGTATCGATACCAATAGGTTGGTATAGATATCAAAGGATTAGTATCGATATTGAAGGGTCAATATCTGTACCCACGAATATTTTTGGATAATTAATCCAAGGCAAAAGGGTAACTTTTGCCCCTGTAGTAGACTCAATTTATAACTTTCACCCCTATCGTATTTTTGCATCAATTTATCCCTTGAAGTTACTCAATTGCATCATTCTATAACCCTACCCCTAACTTAAAACCTTAAATTATAATCTATAAACCCTAAACTATAACCCTATTATCTTTAAACACTAACTTAGGGTTTTGAGTTAAGGAAATTGTATAGAATGATACAATTAAACAACTTGAGGGCTAAATTGATGCGAAAATATGATAGGGTCAAAAATGATAATTTTGGTCTACTACAGGGACAAAGGTGACCTTTAAGCGTTCAAGGATTAAGGGATCAGATTTGAGGTACCCTATATACTCAAAATAATATCAAATAAGACTTTAAGTGATAATAATAATAATAATTTATATTAAAATAATAGAAACAAAAACTGATAGAATTACATAAAACTAGCCTTGTTTGTATACTCGGGAAAATGACCAGGATACCTGGGTCACTTTAGTAAATGATATTAGTATCGAGCAATAGAATCAGCCTGGATATCCTTAGATAGTGCGCGAGTCACTTTAATCTGACTAACTAAGGTTGAGGCCCGATACTCGTGAAGGGTGGGTTAGTCAAGGGTGTTGTGTCCAATGTAAATATTTCGGGCCTCATCCTCGATAGACTAGAGGGGCGCGTGAGCTCTGAGATACAAAACCCTCAGCTGTACTATGATGTCTACCATAGAGTAGAGAGTGCAGTATACGAGTATACTCACTGTTGCATGTTCCTTGATAGCTTGAGCATTAGATGAACACATTTAGTATGATTTAATTGTTAGTGTGGCACTGGGTTGGTAAGCCCAGTGTTTGGAATTTGTTTCATTACGCAGTTTAGTAGGAGGAGCAGTCGATGAGCCTTTTGAACAGTAAAGATCCAAACCGAGTTTGAGTGCAGAGTACATCTTGAGGTTATTCCTTTAGCAGGCATGTATATTTCTAGATCCCTTTTTGTATATTCGAGTCATAACTTTATTTTAAACGATAGTATGTATATTTTGGTTTATTTATTTTGGGAGCTCTTCATGAAAACTTATTTTGTATATATATATATATATATACATACATGTGGTTAATTTATTATAAAATTAGTACTTTCAAGAAATCGTTTATTTAGAAATTTTTTTGTTAGTCACTCAAGTGGTTCCGTGTGGCATTCTAATTGATCGAATTTGTGTCGTACTAGTTTAGGGTGTTACAAACTGACCCATGAATTTTGAGACCGAAATACCACCATCAACAACAGTCGACGGTGGCATCAGACCACTTTCTATTTTTATTTTATAGTTAGATGAGCAAAATATGAGAGATATTAAAGTTCATCGAGGAACAATGTAATTGATGATTAAATAATAATAAAAAATGACACATCATCACACCGTTAGAGAGTTAACGACAAAGCAAGCAAAACGATTCAATCTGTAAAGTTCAGTGAGCAAAATAGAAAAATTGAAAGTATGGTGAGTAAAATATGAGAGAGTAAAGTTCAATAAGGAATGATGTAATTAACCCTTTTCAATTTACTTTAAACTCACGAACATAACATTAAATATTGCATAAGCGTGCAAAGCTAATATAATTTCGCGTCATTATATCTCTCAACGCCATCTTCCTTCTAGTCCCATCTGAAAATTGTGTTCTTTTAAAAAGTATTTTCTACATCATTGTCGTGTTTATATTCTTAGAATTTCGATTTTGCGCAGCGTAAATTCAATTTCAAAGTGAATTAAAGAAATACCCCAAAAGAAACATAGATTTTGAAGTAAAATCATGAAAGTTGTACACAGAAACCTAGTTCCCAACGGCCCTGGCTTCGTAAAGGTATATAGAAGGTTTTTCTTTTTCCTTTATCTTTTTGAAATTTGAGTTTTTTTAATGAAATATTGTTCATTGCAGATGATACCGGTAGATTCAGATGATCTCTGGTTTGTTTACAATTTGATAGCTACTGGAGACTGGGTTACGGCTCGAACCGTCAGGTTTTCTTTGCTCCACTTTTTTAATTTTCTATGTTTAAAAAAAATTGATGGAATATATATCTGGATAGAATTTAGCTGCTTTATATTTTTATGGATGAGGTAAATTAGGGTTTTGTAGGGCTTTTTTTAGTATAATTAGTTTAAATTCTTACTTGTTCGTCATCTTTTATATTGTTATTATTTTCTGTTACTATGGTGTTTTCCCATGAATGATTACTCATAGGTCGGTTATTTGTTGGTTGATAATTTTTTTAATATATATATATATATACCTTTCTTATAGTAATTGTAGATCTTGTTTCCAATGGTAGCTACTACCTATACCAAATCAACGAGTTTTAATCCCAATCAATATTTTTGGGTTCGGCTACAAAAATAATGAAATAAAATAATTTATGTTGGGTGCATGAATGCTTGACCATCATGTCTTAAAGTTCTAATAGTTTTATTTAGTTCTTTATAACTGTTAACCATATAGTTTTTGGTCTTCCCTTCAAGCTTTCACCCTATGCTACGTTAATTTTCTCCATCATTCTAAAAGTGTATCCCTCAATCTGTGTCTAATGGGATTGTTGGGATTGATTGTTTTTTCCATCTCGTCCTTGTCATACCATTCATACATTGTAACATTTTCATCTTGGCTGTACTCATCTTTTGTATATGTTTCTTCTTGTTAATCTAACATTATGTGCCTTATAGCGATGCAAGTATAATAGCTGTCCTATTAAACATTCACTTCAAACTCAGTTTTTTCTCATACTAGATCATAATTCATAAGTTTAACAGCAAATGTATTTTTAGTGTGTAAATCTGAATAATTTGATATTCATAAGTTTCTTGATGTCAATCCTTATAAGTATTATGTACATTCTATGATAGGAAAGTTCTAAGGGAGACATATGGTGGAAGAGATGCAGAACGTGTTACCCTGAAGTTGGAAATAAAAGTCGAGGTACAACTCATTTTTTTCCAGTTGTTTGAATTGCCAACAATTTTTAACAGTGTGGTTGATTTGTACTTTTTTGGTTATGATTAAGTTTTGAATCCTTCAAACATGAAAGTTTTCTGAAGCTGCTTTTAATTATGAGCATTGATACTGATATTAAGTCATACTTCTTTAGGCGATAGATTATGACAAAGAAGGATCAGTTTTGCGGATAAGGGGGAAGAACACCTTGGAGAATGAACATGTTAAGGTAGGTGCACCATAGAATGTTGTCTCTTTTTTAATATTTTTTTATTGCTTTTAAATGCATAATTGTCTTGTTGCAGATAGGGGCATTCCATACTCTAGAACTTGAGCTTCATCGACCTTTTGTATTAAGAAAGGTAGTTATCTTTTCTGGAATATTCTATAATATTGTATCCTTTCTTGTTTGTCCACTAGCCTTGGGTGCTATATCTGTTCAATCTACAAATTTTAGGCTTTTGGGCATCTCTTTCGTACTTCAGTAAGCAAACTTCTATTCTTGATAGTTGTGAATATCACTGTAGTTGCTGCAATTCATCTGTGCACATATTCCTGTCTAGTTAAAGAATCTTTGATACGGTATAAATGTTACTTTGTTTACTTTCTACATGTTTTTAGCTTTTTTAGAGCTATGCCATGTGCAGACATTTGTGGCTAGTCAAGAGATGTCTCTCTGTTCTGGGTGGGTGTTTTGAAAAATAGGGATGGAGATCACCAAGAATGTGTGAAAGGGAATAGTTGACAGAGGTCAAGGGCATTGGCAATCATAGGCATATTTTCATAAGCTATATGCTGGCAGGCTACTACTGGATTAGTTTGAAGAGAAACATAGGCTAATGAAACCTACTTTTTAAAACTAATCAAAAAAAGAAAGTATTATCTAGTATTAATCGAGTTATAGGCATGCTCTATGCTGCTATAGAAAGCAAGCAAATGTGGAATGGACCATACCCAATAATAGAAATCATTGAGAAATCTTATTAATGATTCTAGTCTATCCTTATTGCAACACTTAATACTGGCTAAACTTCTAGGTTATATTCCCTATGGTCATTCTATCTTTTATAGCCTTCTGAATGACAATCATCTTTTGGAATTCATGGACCTGATACATAATGATTACTTGAATATTTTAACACATCGCATTAGCTAGTTACTTGAATTGTGTTCCTTAAGAGTTTGTGGTTTATCTTAGTAGTCTTATTGTTGTTGAATATTACTAGTTCTTGAATTATTGTTTCTCCTTAAGTCATCTTCTCGCTCTCAAAATATTTGATACTCCAGCTGAATCATGGAATTTTCCTTTCATATCTCAGGAAATATGGGACTCATTGGCATTAGATGTACTCCATCAGGCCTCTGGTATGTAGTCTGACTTCTCCAATTGTCTGTATAACTTCAGAATGAAAGCATCTGATGTTTATTATCATGCTTAGAGCTGATTTCATAGTTTCATTTTGCTTGATGACAAATTGCTGGTATATTGATTAAGGCTTTTAGAAGTGTTCTAGTATCACAATAATTTTAGCTGATTTATTGCACTTCATGGTTAAAGTGTGGATTTGAATAAGGGAGAATGATCTCTTTAGCTTCACAAATAAGGTTAAATTGTTCATTTTTAGAGTTGTTTGCATGTTTTCCTTATTCAGTATACTAGAATGACATATCTTTCATCAGCTAATTTGTAATTTGTGGCTTTATATTTAATTTAAGTCTGATTCCTTCATTTAGTGCTTATTGGCTGTATACTTGGTATTAACATTGTATCACCGTGCAATCTCATGGGTCTTAGCACGATATCACATATCATCATCTAAATAAAGCTGGCAAAGTTTGTCCATACCTGAAAACTTGTTTAATTTGTGACTGAACCATAACCAACCCTGACTGACTTGGAATTTTTTTTATTAAAAAATGTATCTGTAGTACTAAACTGTGCTATGTGATAAAAAAAAATCAGGATGGCATGTTGCATCAGCAACAAAAAGGTCATGGTCTAATTTAACTATAAAGTTTTAACCTTGTTATCAACTGTTCTTAAATTGCATTTTCTAGAATGTATCAAGACTGAAACCATTAAAATTTAGCTAGGGAGTTTAAATCCACAGAATTGAAATAATAGAGGAAAAAAATTCCGGCTTCAACCAAAAATGTTAAAATGATAGCATTCCGACATATTTGTTTGTCTGTGTCTATCTGCCTCTTTTAGCGCTCATTGAATAAGGGTTTGGATTTCTCCTCTACCTCCTGTTTATTGTCTTTCTCCTAAAACATAGATTTTTCATCGTTTGTTTTTTTTTTTGCTCACTAATTTGTTTTCTGTGTCTGTAATTTGGGTAATGCAAATTTAGGCCGCATCTTTTTAACAAGCTTGATTTAACTTTGCAATTACACATATTCCAGATCCTGGTGCGAGTGCTGATCTGGCTGTGGTATTGATGCAAGAAGGGCTAGCAAATATACTGCTTGTTGGTAGAAGGTATGTGAGACCAACTTGAAGAATGAATTTTGTTATGAATTTTGATAGATAGTAAGGGGATTATTATGAAGTTGGGAAATTGCCTAGAATCTAATTTTGAGCCAAAGAAACAATATAACTGAAGGAGACACTATTAATATTCCCAAATTCTAGTGGAATCAAGATTGATGTTCTAGCTAATTCTTAGTCACTGCACTGCTATGACAACCTCCAAAATATATAAAACAAGCAGCTCCCATTGAACTTTCTATTATGGCTGTTGACCTATAGTCTTCAAAATTATTTTTAAACTGTGTGTAATGGTGTACAAGATTTTTAACTTTAGTATCATGGTGGCATGTACAACAGTATGACAAGTACCCGTTCACGGATTGAAACTTCAATTCCTCGTAAGCATGGACCTGCCATTGCTGGTTACGAGTCGGTATGTATCTCTTTTACTATTATTATTCTTTTATATTTGGAATTGCAATTAATTTCTAATTTAAAAAGCCGTTTACCTTTAAGAGCATGTAATGAGAATTTGGGTTCTGTTGTCTACCTGGGTTCTGTGTGCTTATTGATTTATTTTTTAACATTCGACAGGCTTTGAAGAAGTTCTTTGAGAATGTTCTACAGGTAAATTATACTTGAACAGTAACATCGCTGTTTTATATGGATTTTAAGTGAGCTTAAGTGGTTGTTTTTGAATCTGTGACAGGCTTTTAACAAACATGTCGATTTCAATGTTATTCGCTGTGCTGTTATTGCTAGTCCTGGTTTCACAAAGGTCAGGGATGAAAACTTCCAACTTATTTTCTTTTCCAATTGCCTTCAAATACTTCAGTTTCCTTAGTACCTATTGGAAAGATACGTTTTAAAACATTTGTTATTATTTTTATATCTTTGATCTGTTTCAGGACCAGTTTCATCGCCATCTTTTGTTGGAGGCAGAAAGAAGACAACTGAGGCAAATTATTGAGAATAAATCACGAATAATTCTTGTTCATACAAGCTCTGGATACAAGTATGTTTTCTTGCCGCTTCAGTTTTTACTCTGCCAACTATGATAAGCAATGTAGATCTACATCTCATCTGAAATACCATATGTATCTAGGAGTTTGATGTTGATATATACATGCGGCTCCATTATTTAGAACATCTATATTCTATCTTTCTCTGTGAATTCGGACGCAAATATAATTTTTTTTAACTGATGCTATTTCATTTTGGAGTTTCCATACGGACATGGATCTTAGTTTAACTTCATTATAATGCAGGCATAGTTTGAAGGAAGTATTGGATGCTCCAAGTGTCATGAACATGATAAAAGACACAAAAGCAGCCCAAGAGGTATGTTGTAGGAATACCCGGCTAAGAATTTTATTTTTACTCATCAATTGTTCCAATTTGTTTTCATTTATTTCTTCTGACAAGAGCCTTTTATTTTCCATTTTGCAATTTTACCAGGTCCGAGCTCTCAAGGATTTCTTCAATATGCTTTCAAATGTGAGGTTCTACCTTGGTGTGATGTAGTACGGGGGTGTGTTTTCACATTAATTCTTGGCTTTTGTTTTATCATACAGGATCCGACACGTGCATGCTATGGACCGAAACATGTCGAGATTGCCCATGAGCGAATGGCAGTTCAAACACTTCTTATTACCGATGACCTCTTCAGGTTGGTTTATCATATGATCATCTTAATATGTTTGGGTAGCTAAATGGTGGTTTGTTGTGGCATTCAGGAATTCGGATGTAATAGTAAGGCAAAAGTATGTGGATTTGGTGAACTCGGTTAAGAAAACGGGGGGCACTGCTCACATATTTTCTTCGATGCACGTATCAGGGGAAGGTGAGTGCAGCATTTTGTGTTTTAGTTTTGATAATTATTCTCACTATTTCTGACGTGCATGCATTTTCAGAATTGGCACAGCTGACTGGTATTGCGGCAATCCTCCGTTTCCCTCTCCCGGATCTGGAAGACATTGAAATGTAACGCAGCAACATATAATAAGATTGAATTTAATTTATTGTATTTCCGCATTTTGAACTGTATCATATAACTTTATTTCCTTTACTGGTTTTCAAATTTATTAAGGTCTTATTTTACGATAATATATATATATATATATATATATATTAATGTATGTCGACAAATTCTAAATATTTAATTTTTTTTTTATTTGAAATTAATTTAGAAGAATAATATCCAAAACTAATTTTATAGATATTTGCAACTTTCAGTTGTAATTATATTGATACGGTTAAGTAAGGGTAAAATACATTTATGGTCATTGAACTTTTAGGGTGTTTTCATTTTGGTCATTCAACTTTTAAAACTTGCAATGTAATCACTAAACTTTTATTTTGTCTTCAGCAAGGTCTCTAACGTTATCTTTCGTTAGTTTTATCTGATGTGATACGTCACTAGCTTAATAAATAATCATTCTAACCCATTTTAGCTTAATAAAAAAAATCACCCAAAATTAACTGAAAACCCTAAAAATCAAATTTTCCTTTCTCTTATTCTCTTTGTTTGATCAACAATCGAAGCTAGTAATGGTGACACCAATTGCAATCTCAACATGTTTTGGTGGAACGTCGGCTGCCTTAAGCATAGTTTGGATGAATAATAATGCTCGAAATAGGTTCTTTGGATGCCTTAACCATGGGCGTGTATTTAGAAGAAATTAGAATTTATTTTTGTTTGGTATGATCCTCACTGAATCCATGTTCACGTACTGTTATCGTTGGTTTGCTAAGAATGATGAGAGCTATTGAGAGGGGAAAAAGGTGTGAACGAGTGATTTGGGTGGCCTGTTTGGGGGGTTTTGCTATACCTGGTCATGTTGGGTTAAGAAAGGAGTAATTTAGGATTTAGGGATTATATTTTATTTTACTTTTTGCTTATGTTTGCTATTTCAAGTTCATTTTGACTAGTTGGAATTTGAACATGAATTTGAAATTTGAGGTTCAACATATAAACCGAAATGTATGTAAGATCAACTAAAATTGTGAATATGAACATGAATTATCAATTTGTCATTGCGCATCTTTCAATGTTTGTTTATGTTTTCTGCTTATGTTTGTGAGTTATTTGATCTAAATTTTGATCGGTAAAAGTGTTTTAAACCCTTTTAACTTTTTCAAAATTTTATACGACATCGTTTGAGATTTTTTTTTAATTTTTATTAACATGAAAAATAACAGTAATGTGTCACTCAGATAAAACTAATGAAAGGTAATGTCAGGGACTTTACTGAAAACGAAGTAAAAGTTTGATGACTGTATGGCTGTATTGCAAGTTTTAAAAGTTGGGTGACCAAAATGCAAGGGCCCTAAAAGTTTAGTGACCATTTATGTAGTTTACCCTTAATTTTAATTAAAATTATATTAAATTATTTGACTTTCTCACTCCACTCTATTCCAATATATAATAAATTTATCTTGAATTTTAATTATGGTGATTATTATATACGCATAAATGTTAAATCTACCTTAACTATATTATTTTTAATACTTAAATTTTATTATTGGTACTTTAATTAGTTAGTCGTTAATAAATTATAATGTCTTGAATTTTTTGATGATCAGAAAGTGACGTTGGTTGATTAACTTTAATGAGTTAAATCAACAATAACGATATATAGAAAATAAATTTCAACCTAGTGTTGCTATAGCATGAAAAACGATAATGATAATAATAATAAGAGCTTAATTACATTAAACTGAAGCATGAAGGATTGATTTGCAAGGAAAAAAACATACAAGACCAAAACTTACAATCAAATGATGAGCATAGAATCATGTCCATCGGTAAAAACTCTATTTTTCTTCATTTTAGATTCTTCTTTTTTATGTATATATAGAATAAATCAGATATGAGTGAGATATCGATGCCTTGGAAAGCAATGGGATACACTTAGCCACTTAGGGGATTTTGTGTATCCGTCCTTGAAAGCAATGGAGTCCGGAGAAAAGGTGATTATGTTTCGGGTAAATTATACGACCGTCTCATATTTTTAAACCGTCTGATTTTTTTTCATCAATTAAAAAAAAGAGATGTTTTGATCTCTTATGTTGTTTGCCTGTTCAGTTTTAGCCCATTGAGCGTTTATTCCCATTAACGAAAAGCTTTGTATTTCAAGGCATTATCTTTGTCTCCAATCATTTTCAAGTATTTCAAGGCATTGGATTTCAAGAAGAAGAAGAAAGAACATGTTTTTTTAATTGTCAATTCAAGCTTCTGTTAATAAGTTAACGCCCAAGGGACTAAAACAAAACGTATTGATAATATAAGAGACCAAAACCATTTTTTTAACCGGTGATCAAAATTGGACGGACCGAAAACATAAGATAACACTCGTGTAGTCAACGACCGAGGGACTAAAACCAAACGTATTGATAACATAAGAGACCAAAACCATTATTTTTTTTTAAATCAGAGATCAAAATCAGACGGACTAAAAATATAAGATATCATCTGTGTAATTTACCCTTAAATTTTAGTTAACTATTCCACGATCCATCTTTGATTAAAATGAATTATCTTAATAAAAAAATAAGTGTTCAAACTATATCTTTGTTTGCTTTTTAGTTTAAAGCAAGTGTCTAATTTTTTAGACGTTATCTTTTTAGGTGTTCAGTCTGTATGGATGTTAAAAGTTTTTATTTGACACATGTCTTATATATATATAATTTTTATTTTTTTAAATTATTAATATTTTCTAAAAAAATCAATATTTTTCTAAAATCTCTTAAAATTTCAAATCCTTAAAATTTTAATTCCAAACTCTCTTTTATTAGCCATTGATGGTCGCTACTGCTACTGTTACTGTTATCGTCATCAAATAACCACTTGTCTATTGTCGATTGTAATTTTTTTCACTGTCATTATAACGTATCAAATAGTAGATTTCTCTAAGCACTTAAAATAATAACATCAGAAATATGAGATATCTACTTCAAACAAAAAATAACCCTTGAAATGAACAAAGTAAAACAAGCAAATATTAGAACTATTCTACATCCACCTTTAACAAAAATTCCTCTCAATCATCTTGCATTTATTGTTCAGAAAAAGATTTATTTTATTTGTGATGTACATATGCAAAATCCATGGATGATCCAAATCCTGCTATCCTAAAAATAGAAACATGTATTTAAAAGGGTAAAGTACACAAATGGTCTCCTTATTATAAGAGACTATTTTGTTAAGTTCTTGCTTATTATAAGACAAAATAGTCGTCTGGTTATAAGAAGTTGTTTTATTGAGTCCATTGACTATTAAAAGTTACAAAATGATCACTCGGTTATTCATATATGTTTTAAACTCGTCCTTTTCCGTTGAAAAAAATTAATGGTAGTCCGAGCTATACATTAACCCGCTGACAGATATATCATAAAATCTGATCTCATAAACTCAAACGAATATCATATCTCAATCAACATGTTAACGTCCAACTTAGACGACCATTAATTTTTTTAACAGAAAAGGGTGAGTTTGGAACATAATGAATAGTCGAGTGACCATTTTGTAACTTTTAATAGTTGGAGAACTTAATAATGTAGTATCTTATAGATGGAGAACCATTTATGTACTTCACCCTCTTTAAAATTAAAATATATGAGTAAAGTACACAAATGATCCCTCGACTATAGAGTATTACTTTATTAAGTCCCTCGAATATTAAAAGTTATAAAATGATCCATCGATTATAGAGTATTACTTTATTAAGTCCCTCAAATATTAAAAGTTATAAAATGATCCTCTGACTATATAGTGTTACTTTGTTGAGTCCCTCGACTATTAAAAGTTACAAAATTATCACCCAACTATTTATTATGTTCCAAAATCATCATTTTCCTTTTAAAAATTAGACGATATTCTGATATGAATTTTAATAAGTTGACTATGATTTAATAAAATTTGATCTCAGAATCTCAGACGACTATCATATCATAGTCTAGGTTAACGTCCAACTTAAACAAAAACCAATTTTTAACTGAAAATGATGAATTTGAAACATAATGAATAATCAAGTGACCATTTTATAATTTTAATAGTTGAAGGACTCGCACTAACCAACTTACCTAAGTGGTTAAAAGAATCTTTGTTGTTCCTAGAGGTCACGGGTTCGAGCACCAACGACTGTAGTAGGGTAATTGAGCGTTCATTGTCAAATGGTTGAGACTATTTAGAACAAATACTACTTTGTAATCACTTTAACTTAATACAAAAAAAATAGTCGAAGGACTCAATAAAGCAACATTCTATAGTTTAAGGACCATTTTATAACTTTTAATAGTTGATAGATTTAATAAAGTGACATCCTATAGTCGAGGGATCATTTGTGTATTTTCCCCAAAATATATTTAATGAGGTATTTTCCATCAATAAAATTAAGGGTAAAGTATAGTAATGGTCACTGAACATTTCAGAAGCTTGCATTTAGGTCCCCCAACATTTAAAACTTGCAATACAGTCCCCCAACATTTATTCCGTTTGTAATATGGTCCCCCAACTTAAACCACAGTTAGAAAATTAGGATAAATTATATAAATGGTCATTGAACTTTTCAGTCACTTGAATTTAGGTCCCCCAACTTTTAAAACTTGCAAAACAATCATCAATTTCATTCTAAACCCCAATTTCCAAAGTAATTCAATTTTATTCTAAACCCTAAATTCCAAAATACTTAAATTAAATTCAATTATGTCAAAGTTATTATTATTTAATTTCATCTTATTTCATGTGATACGTATTTTTTATATAAATATAATAGTATAATTCTTATCTGTTGAAGAAATTTTTTAATTAAAAAAAGTAGTTAGGATATAAAAGAGGTTGAAAATAATTCAAATTTTAAATTTATAAAATGTTATTTTGACGTATAAATAAAAGTGTAAACTACTCGGTTGACAACTTAACTATCTAGCCCTTTTTACTTTTGTCATCGATCTTTTAAATTTATCAATCATACCACATAATTATTTAACTGTTTCAACTAAGCCACTAGTCGTTACCAATTGATAAAAATGATGATGTGGCAGTTAAAAGGAATTGACATTATTATACATTCAGTCTTTATTATTTATATAATCAATTTGGTCCTAAATTAAATAAAATTTAATAAATTAATCATTTAATTAGGATCTGACATGTGTTAGCACATGATCATGACACGTGTCATTGGTGACACGTGTTACCACCTAATTATTTATATATGCTATCAATTTGGTCCTAAATTAAATAAAATTTAATAAATTAATCATTTAATCAGGATCTGACATGTGTTAACACATGATCATGATATGTGTTATTGGTGACACATGTCACCTCCTAATTAGAAGAAAATTAAGTTACAAAGAAGTAAAATTTGGGTCTTGGGCAAACTCAAACCTGAGTCACGCAAATGAAAGATATAGGGTGGAGCCACTAAGCTAACACCATCGTTTGTGTTAAGAGATATACAATAATACATATACTAATAGTATGACCAATGCCAGAAAAAAAAGAATATAATGTAAAATGGAAATAATGAGATTTGAACTTCGGCAAAAAATTTGAAAGCAATAAATGATGGGAAAATATTATATTTTTTACAATAAAAAATATTATATTTGATAAATTGTTTGATAGATTTAATATATTTTTTAAATATTAGTTGATACAATATTTTAAAAGAATAAATTTAAGATTTATATATTTTTAAACTAAATTTAATAATTATATTTTTCATATTTATAATTCATGATTATATATATAATCTTAAGTTGAGTATTTCTAATATAATTAATAATTTTAATTTCTTATTAAAAATAAAATATTCAAAAAATATAAATGATTCATACATTAATATATGAATATATTTTTTATTTATACATCTAAATATAAATATACATTTATATAAATATATTTTTATTCGTTGTGTCTGTGCCTTGAACTCTTTCTTCAAGCCTATATTACCTTAAATTGAAGTATTTTAGAATTTAATTGAAGTATTTTAGAATTTAGGGTTTAGAATAAAATTGAATTATTTTGGAAATTGGGGTTTAGAATGAAATTGATGATTGTTTTGCAAGTTTTAAAAGTTGGGGGACCGAAATTCAAGTGACTGAAAAGTTCAATGACCGTTTATATAATTTATCCTAATTTTCTAACTGTGGTTTAAGTTGGGGGACCATATTGCAAACGGAATAAATGTTGGGGGACTGTATTGCAAGTTTTAAATGTTGGGGACCTAAATGCAAGTTTCAGAAATGTTCAGTGACCATTACTATACTTTACCCTAAAATTAATTAGTCCATTAAAAAGAATTTCACTCGCTCCTTCCACAATTTTTTAAACCTCCCCTCTCCGAGAACTCTCTCCCCCCTACTTGACCACAAATCATTCAATTCCAGGTATGTTTGATTCCGGTTTCCTTTTCCATCTTTATCGTACATCTCTCTCATATTTCTTTAATCTGATTATAATCTGGTTTTCCCCTCTCAATTTCGATTGTATTTGATTTTGAATATGTTGCATTTTTTTAATCTTCAGTTTTCTGATCGCGCTTTACAGTTTTAAATGTTTTATCCTAGGGTTTTAAACTACCACTTCTTTTATGTATAAGAGTATAAAATTTAATCAGCTGTACCTATTTCCCCCCTTTAATATTGTCTCTGATTAGAAATTAGGCTTTTAAACATTCTATGATCGAATTTTCTTAGTGCAAAGCTAGATTAATTAATTTTACAAGCTTTCATATTTTTTTATACAATTTATGTCTAATTAGATTCCGATTCGTGCACCTACAGCTTCAAATCTGTACGTCTGTTAAGATTCTCCCCTCCCCCAACATGCATAACACTCGAAAGTTTTTGTCAAGAATAATTTGTTATATTTTTTCAATCTACTTAAAACTCAATGTGCGTAATCTACACGAACATAACATTAAATATTGCATAAGCGTGTAAAGCTAATATAGTTTTACAATACTGTAAATATATTCGCCTTATAAGCGTGTAAAGATTTGGTGTTGTAGCTGTTCCTTCTTTAAGATTTTTTTTAGTTTTCATTTCCATTTTTGAATATCTTTTTGCATGTTTTATTCTTTTCTTTTTTAAAATCTATTCTATGTAAATCATTCTAATTAGTGTTTGGAATTTTACAAGCTAAATGCTGAAAAACCCCTTAATTTGATTGGAGGAGAATTGCAAATGTATGATTGCTTTCAGCAATTATAGAGTTGCACTTCAGCTTTTTCTGAGATTAATGAGAAATGGTTTGAATAGATTTTGCAGTTGTATTGCGAAGGATAGAGTTTGCACCTGAAACCTTGATTTGCTGGTGCTAAATAGTTTATTCTTCTATATATTTTCTATAATGTACAAGCAACAATAAAAGGCAAAAACCATATTTGCTTTTTCATTCTTATACATTTTGCTGTTAGTACTTCTTTTGAAGGACTTTTTAATGTCACCCGAGTATGTGCGCATTTTCAATTCCAGTGTAATATTTATCTCACTTCTTCCCCTCCCTCACCCCCAAATATTTATGTTCGGGTCAATAGGATGATGGGAATTGTGCATTATAAAGTTAGTTTTTTCTTATTCTTTTCTTTCGTTTCCTGCTATCTTTGTTTGTAATGAGAGATTCGTCATTTATCTGTGATTGCAGATTTCTTTATGATTTTAGAAAGCTTTTATTACTTGCTAATTTAGCTTTGGTTTGTAATTAATTTTGGGATCTTATTTCTTAAAATACTGTTTTCCATTGCAAGCTAAAATGCTTTATAACAATAAACATGGTGGACTGTGTCTTTGTGGTTTAAGCATGTTTTAGAAGTTTGCAGTTAAATCCTGTTTACAATTAAATCACTTTAAAAAATGTACTATATAGTTTAGAGCTTGATTTCGAAGTGAGATTTTATAATACTTTGGTTAGAAACTTTTTAAAATAAGGGATGGACTTAATTAATTGGTAAGCAATTTCTTACTTGTTAGCACTACAGAGCAGGGTTTTTTTTTTTTTTTTTACTAATTTTATAGTGTAGAGTCATTTTGTCTTATGATAGTTTTTTTGTTTGAACTTTTTTTCTTAAATTTATACAAGCTTCATCCTAATCTAAATTAGGAATTCCATCAAAGTTTATATATGTCCTTGAAATTTGTAAGTTAGAAAGAGTTTTTTTGGATAAATTTGACATTGGTTTCCAGATTATTTGTAAAGGTGCCATGCAGGTAGAATATGTACTTGAAATCAACAATTCTTTGGTGACTTTGATGGAAATTCACCAAGGGGTCAAGGCTTCAAACGGATGGACCGTTTCTTGATCTGGTGGCTGCCATCCAATATACACTTTGGGGTGGGTTAGGATAGCCTGGGGTGTAGGGCAAGGTAAGGGTGCTAACTGTGTAATGATAAAAGAATAGAAAGTGGTGATGAATTCAAACCTTTATGCACGTTCATATTGTGCTTTTCATCATTTTACTTGTAAACTCCCCCCTATTTCTAGTTTCAGCGAGCAAGGGTGTTTCTTCTTTTGAAACATTTCTCTAGAGGTGACTTGCAGGCTTGCAGCATATTCTTAGTTGTAGATGTGGCTTCCTTTTGTGCCTTTTCTTGTATATTCAACTCATTATATATCATAAATATTCGGAGAAGAAGCTAACTTGGTCACACAAATAAATCTGTGCCTGTGCATAAATTTCTGGAGTGTCTTTTTGATGTCTTTAGTGGTAGTATTGTTAATAATGTCAATCATCGTATGTCATCCATGATCCACCAACAACAAAATTGGTCTCCAATAATGCAATGCTCTACTTCTGTCTGGAAATATGAATTTGAATATTTAGATTTGGATTTCATCTGTAATCATGAATGTTACCTTTATATGTGTTCTATCACACAACTTATACTAATTTTGAATTTTAAGTTCCCAAACACCACTTTAGTGAATTGGTTTTTGTGGATTTTCATAGTATTGGTATTTTGGCATATGCCATCTAAGAACAAGTCAGGATAGTGCTGCATGTTGTGACATGGTCTAGATGGTTTCTTTCATGTTCTTTTGTCTTCTCTTGACAGACCTGTCTGTTTATTATCAACTAAGATTCCAGACATTACATTGTCTGAAAGTGTGTACAATACATTTTCAGTTTTTAGGTAACAAGAACAGTACCTTTGCCAGCCATGAAAGTAGGAATGCTCAAAAAGTAATTCCAGATACTTTAGTCAAACCGAGTCAACAGGCCAACTCAAATTTGTTTTCAAATTTTTGGCATTGGATTCCTTTATTTGTTGCCTTAGAAGTGTGAACTTTTAAGTGTGTTAGGTGTCATTTGTTCCGAGAATGCACACCCATTCTAAACAATAAATTATCGTTCTCTAGAGACAGCTCTATTTAGTTGCCTAGGCTTTATCCCTGTTCTGTACTGACAACAAGGAACATCGCTATTGTTGTTGTACAAATTTTGAAGTCCATGCATTAAATGCATGCAATGCACTTTGAATCTGTTCTGTTCTCCCATTAGAAAATATGGCATATGGGGTCAAGTCGTGAACTAGTCACATTATTCTTGATTATTTTTACAAAAAATGTATTTTTAATTGTATCTGATCTTATTTTATCTTCCCGTGCTTTAGGTAAAATTGCAAATGGCCAAAGTTAGTAAAGTGCGAAAGTCTGATTCACGTCATAAAAAGGTGAATCCTTATCTATTGTCTTCTTACCCTAAGAAGGCTGGCAAAGGCACCCAACAGAAGCAATGTTTGAAAGCTTCAGAGAAGAAAGATTTGGGAACTGCAAAATGTTCTGTCTGTCTAGAGTTTCCTCACAATGCTGTTCTCCTCCTTTGTTCCTCCTATGACAAGGGTTGTCGCCCCTACATGTGTGCCACTAGTCAGCGCTTTTCCAATTGTCTTGAGCAATACAAGAAAGCCTACACTACAGTAACTTCAGTGGACGGTGGTTCGGTAGATAATTCAATTATTGTTTCAGGTGTGGGACAGCCCGATGAAAAGATGGAAATACCAGAGCTTCTCTGCCCGCTATGTCGAGGACAAGTGAAGGGTTGGACGGTGGTAGAACCTGTACGGAAATATCTCAATAGGAAAAAAAGATCATGCATGCAAGATAAGTGCTCTTTCGTTGGAACTTACAAAGAGCTCAAGAAACATGTTAAGGCAAAACACCCATTGGCACGACCTCGAGAAGTGGATCCTGTACTTGAAGAAAAATGGAAAAAACTAGAGAATGAGAGAGCGCGGGATGACGTAATTAGTACAATCATGTCATCAACGCCGGGGGCAGTGGTATTAGGGGATTATGTGATCGAGCCTGGCTCTCGCGGTATCTACAGGGATGAATATGATTCAGATGACTCTATTGATGATGGCTTCCTTCACCTGGACTCATCTTTTCGATTGCATGGCAGATTCATTGATTATGACCTATCTGAGGACGGAGGTTTCTGGATGCACCGTGCTTTCCGTCGATCTAGGCCTTCTCGCTTATTGGGGTCAGTAGGGCTAAGGCGAATCTCCTGGGTCCGAGGACGTAATGGAAACCGATGATTTTGTGTGTTTACCTATACCGCACTTGAGAATAAGTAGATGTATTTTCAACTGCAGTCACATGCTGAAATTTATGGTAACATGATGTGATGCGGCAGGTATTGTAGGAGTAGGTCACTGGTAAGGTATTGAACCCAAGGTATTTTGACCTTAGGTCCCATAGTAGGTAATGTGTAATCGAATATCATTTGGTCGTATGCATAGAGCATTTGGGGGTGGGCTTCATTTGACAGCATTGCAGCATAAAAATTAAAACATTATTTTTTATTACTCTCTTTGCTTTAGAAGTTGGCGGGCAACGTTCTTGATGTCATTACTTGTGGTTAAAATTAATTTTTTAAAGTTAAAATATAATATTATTATATTAATTTACAATTTATAAAAGATTAGATCATAGCTTTGTTGCTTTGGGTCAAAATATTTTTTTAATATTTAGAAGTTCACGATTTTAAATAATTAAACGATAAAGTTACCATTGGGATGGGGTGCTAAACGATCCCTGAATAGTAGTGATGTTGAAAATTTGTGAGAATAATTCATTCATTTTTTTTAATCTCATTCTCTTTTTTTATGTTTTTGAAATTATAAATTGATTTATAGAGTTCTCTTATTTTTATTGACGAGTCAATAAGGAAATGAAAATTTTACAATATATAGGATGCTCGGTTAATTCCAGTGCAATAGGAATATTACTGAGAAATAAACTTGGACAAATTTTAGATATGGTTAAAATATTAATTGGATTTGGACTTCAACATTTATGGCTGGAGTTCGGTCTAACCTATTATATAAGATATTGTGTTGTGTTATCTCATAAAGATTAAATCTATAATATATAATTTGATCTAAATAAGAATCACTTCAGTGATTAATGTGTTGTTCGATATTTTGATCGGATTATTTCAATAGAGTATCAGGTGTTATAAAATTATGATAATTTTTTATAACTTGCAGATGCATTCTCATAACATGGGGATGAATTTATACAAGGATTCAAAGTTTTCATTCTTAAAACTTTTCATTTCCTTAATGTTCTAAAAGTTAATGATTCATACATTTGTAACGATTCGGTTTTCAATATGATTGTAATTATCACTTTTATATATGTTAAGCTTTAGTAGTTTTATTCTTCCAAATGAAGCGGTTAGCAACGGGACTAATACTATTTTGGTTGTATTTAACTACATTTACACGTGTGACGTACTTAACTAAATTTGCACAATTTGGGATTTCAATCCTACGAGTAGGACTTCCCTAACCTTCGCTGAAACATTCACACTACTATGTTATTTTATTTATATACATTTAAAATATATAACACTCGTGCTGAAACTTTCTATGAGGTTGAACGAGGACCTATTGATATGTATTTGGGGTTGTATGTGTTTTGTTTAAAACTCCTTGATGTATCGTTGGGTTGTATTTAAGAATGATTATCGGTCGGGTCGGATCAAGTTTCTTGTTAAACTCATTTATATGCATTTGACTCAATTCATATTTAAGAGGGTTTCACCCGACCCTAAACTAACCTAATATTTTAGGTCAAAACTTGCACTCAACTCGATCAATGTGACTTATATATTTATATATAAATTTATTTTTATTAGGTAAAATAACAATCTAATCGAATAACAATATAGAAAAAAATATTATTATAATTATTCCTAAACATATAAGGGAAAATTATAATATTATATCATGTCAGAGAATTTTTAACCCTAAATTCGAACTTGATTCGATCCAATCTCACCCTTAAAAAAATTCGATCCAAACTTAAATTTTGAAAAAAAATCTTACCCAATCATGTCGGATCAAAATCCATCAGGTCCTGGCGAAATGCCCACCCCTAATTGCATCTACTTCATTTGCACTCCCACGAGCTGACACGTTCCTTGGATGATGTTATCGACCTATCTTTTCTCTGTTATAGTGCTTGCATGTCGAATCTGTATGCTCTCTTCTACAACTTCACATCTTTCATTGATATTTGTGCCCATATCACATTATCTTTAGCTAGATTGGAACTGCATGTTGATATGATAAGGTCTGGCCTTAACGATTGATTGTGGATCTAGGAAGGAAACAAAACAACCTGCATAAGATAAATGGTTCAAATAGGGTGGTTAAGGTGGTAATCGTGATGGTAAATGGTCGGTTTAATTATGAGAGATGGTAGCGGAAGATGTTTGGTTGTGAATATGATATGGTTAACGAAATAGTGGAATGGTGAATAAGATAGTATATTAGAATAACCAAGGAAGAACCAGTGCTATAAAGAGCAAAGACCCATCATTACAAATCATTCTAAGGGATGGTAATTAGGACTTGGACCCGCTATCTATATCGAGATAGGAACCACAAGTATCAAGGTGAATAAGGAATGACGCCACAAGTAACGAGTTACTTGATAAGTCGATAAAAGTCAAAAAGGACTCAATAAAGAGAATAATCTCAATTTAATTCAAATTCAAAGTTAATTCTACAATGCAATATGAAAGCCCATTTTATAGGACTTGAATATGCATGGCCGAATGTTACATTGTAATTGGCCGAATGGTGCTTGTTGATGAGGTTATCTTTGGCACATAATTTAATCATAATTGGAACACATTTATCATGCATGTCCTTGGTGTATATTCGGTCAAATGTAGGAGAAATGTGTCTTGGCCGAATTCCTTCAAGTGGTGGCTAATGGAGACAAGCATCTTGCATGCACATGGGCTGTTTGTAGTGCAATGCTTGGTCACGCACATGGGCTGTTTCCTGAGTGTAATTGTGTGTAGGATTTGCAACAACAATTGGGCGTGCATTATCTTCATTTTAAACTTGATTGAGTGGGAATATAATTAACAAAAATAAAGGCTGGTGGTGATCTAGTTGGTGTAGTGTAATTCCAGCCAAATTAGACATTCTTTAGTGCCCCCACAATCTGCCATGATTTGTTGGTGATTTGTTCATGTCTCCTTAGTGCTTCAACACGCTGTCCAACATGTGCCATGCTCAAATAACCTTTTTTGCCGTGTTTTGTGAGCTGGAAATGTCTTGAAAGTGCTCCACTAAACCTTCCATCATGTGGCATATTTCTTGATATTCCTACATGTGCAAAGAAACAAGTATTTTAATGATAGTGGTATGTTATAAACAAAATACTTGCTGCCGTGCATGTGCTTATGTTGGTGAGCTTTTGATTGCATGTTTATTATCTTCAAATGACATTAATAACATGTGAAAAATCTTAAGTGCAAAGATGAATGCAATGAGTTACACGAATGTATGCTGTCATGTGAATGCAAATGCAAGTATATCTAATTATGCTTACAAATAACAAGATGCACGAAGTGATCATACTAAGTTATTAACTATTAAGACATTATATAACTTAACATCGGAGGGTGTCAAGTTATTAAATGAATCAAAAGTTTCAAGACACTTAGTTAGGATTACTTCCCTGAATTGTTTGGCCCTTGATCTAGTAATGGGACCTCGTGGCATGACTTCTATATCTGAAGTGGGCGTGATCACATCATCCCCCCTTCTTTAAAGCGATTTATCCCCAAATCATCTCCATCCTCAAAGGGTGTTAAGTCTGCAATGTTGAATGAAGCATTGACGTCACCAAACTCACCGGACAACTCTAGTTTATAAGCAATGTCATTGATCTTTTCCACAATCTAGAATGGGCCATCTCCTCGGGGCAATAATTTGGACTTTCTTTGATTTGGGAACCATTCCTTTCTAAATTGTACCCAAACCCAATCTCCTACTTCAAAAGTTATCTTTTTCATTCCCTTGTTGGCTTGCTACTCATATTGTCTAGTTCTCCTTTCAAAATTGTCCTTGACTTGTTGATGGATCCTTTTAACAAATTCTACCTTGTCCTTTCCATCTTTGTTCATTATTTGATCACAAGGTAAAGGAAGTAAGTCCAAAGGAGTTAAAGGATTGAAACCATACACTACCTCAAATGGAGAATATTTTGTTGCTGAATGATTGGTTTGATTATATGCAAACTCCACATGTGGTAGACATTCCTCCCAATTCTTGATTTTCTTTTTGATTATGGATATAAGTAATGTTGACAAAACTCTATTGACATCTCTATATGATACAATGGTTTGACGAAGTCCATGGAACCTTACCACTTCTTTAAAGAATAAGTTCGCAACGTGAATAACATCATCGATTTTGTTACATGGTATAAAATGAGCCATCTTGGAAAATCGGTCAACCACCACATATATCGCATTCTTTCCATTTTTGGTTCGAGGTAAACCCAAAACAAAATCCATAGAGACATCTATCCATGGCATGGTTGGTATCGGCAATGACATGTATAACCCATGAGGCATGACTTTTGATTTCACCCTTTTACACACTAGATACCTTTCGCATACCTTTTCGACATACCTTTTCATCTTTGGCAAAAAGAGGTGTTCTTTCAAGATGCTAAGTGTCTTGTCAATGCCAAAGTGTCCCATAAGTCCCCCTTCATGGGCTTCTTTGGTTAGCACTTCTCGCATGGAACCTTGTGGGATACAAAGTCTTCATTCCTTGAAAAGATACCCATCATGCTGATAATATTTGTCATAAGCACCTGCTTTACATAACTTATATCTTTCTCCAAAGTCAAAATCAGTAGCATAATATTCCTTAATGAATGAAAAACTAAGGAGTTTGGAATCCAAAGTGTTGAGTAATACATCCTGCGTGAAAGAGCATCTGCCATAATATTATCCTTTCCTTTCTTGTAGCGGATGACATAGGGAAATGATTCAAGGAATTCAACCCATTTGACATGTCTCTTGTTGAGTTTGTGTTGTCCCTTAATGTGTTTTAACGCTTCATGATCAGTGTGTATAACAAATTCCCTTGGTAATAAGTAGTGATGCCAAGTCTCCAATGTTCAAATGAGTGCATACATCTCTTTGTCATAGATTGGATAGTTCAAGGTTGCACCGTTTAGCTTTTCGCTAAAGTAAGCGATTGGTTTTCCCTCTTGACTCAAAACAGTACCAATCCCAATTACGGAGGCATCACATTCAACTTCAAATGTCTTCTCAAAGTTTGGCAAGGCTAATAGGGGAGCCTTAGTCAAATAATCCTTGAGTTCTTTGAATACTTCATCTTGTTCTTTGCCCAAAGAGAAGTTTGAATTCTTCTCAATAATCCCTGTTAAGGGGGCGACAATAGAGGTAAAGTTTGGTACAAACCTCTTGTAAAAATAGGCTAATCCAT